CTGACCCACACTTGCTTCACCCCAGACCACAGACACAGAGGTGAGTGGGTGTGCTAGACCGGTTGGTGCGAAGTTGCACAAGGTAGGCTGGGCCAGTGGATCAGGGGTCAGCCTTTACCTCCTAAGACCAGTTACCCCTTGCCATTGCCAGAGACTCCTCCTAGGTTCAGACACATTACCCTGTCTGTCCCTCTGCTTCTTCTCCCTCCTCCTCTTCATTTGTGCTTTTGTCTTGAGATGCTCGGCTTTTCCCAAATAGCCTGTTTGGGGCAGGAACTCACTGCACAGGCCATGGTAGCCTCAAAGTCACAGTACCCCTGTCACCACCGAGTGCAGAGAATACAGGTGTGAGCCATCACATCCAGTCCAGAAACTCCCATTGTTTCAGCTTTGCTTTCTGTTGATTATATTGTAACTCACCTGGATTACTATAGCTCTGAGTGTTCATCTCAAACCTCTTACTGTTATTAACTCTTCTTCGCTAGTTTTCTTATCTTTAAAACTAATACCAGAACAGAGGGTAATACCTTGTTTTTCTATGTGGCCCATTGTTGTTTTAGCAGTGATTTTCAAGTGATTTTGAAGGTCAGAATATTAAAAGAGACATGTCTGAAAAGGACTTTGTGCTTCCTCATATCTCACCATGTTTTAAAGTTGATCTTACTATGGATAATACCCAATTACAACTACATTCAAGCCAAAACTCATGTTTTAAATAAACTTTCCAAATCTGGTTTAAAATATAATTCATGCAAAAATATATGCAACTGAACCTATCTCCAGGGTGTTCTATGTGCCATTATAAGTGATGGAAGGGTGTTTCCCTAAATTACAAATGCACATTGCCTTATGGCAGGAATTAGATGAATATGTGCACAGAATGGGGAATGTCAAACCATCTACTAACACTACATTCAGCTATCTTAATATACTTAACATACTGCACCTAAAATTTAATAATGTGAGTTGAAAATATTGCTCATGTGCTTTCTTAGTATTTATGAACTAGATTTGAATCACTGTTAATTTGTAGGAGGAAACTCAAAGCAACTGTCCCATCAGTAGGCACATCAGTACTCCTTATCAGACAACACAGTCCAAACAACCAAAGGGACAGTCTTGCTGAAGTTTCAGCCACTTGGTAGACACCCAGAGCCAGTTAGACTCTAGTTAATCGAAAGAGCTAGTTGAGGTCATTAAAAACTTAGGAGCATTTAGAATAGAGTTGAATGCATCAGAAATGTCTACGTCTATGTATAGGGACATACATATTTCATAATGATTCAGGGGAAATCATGTAAAGAAATAGTTTCATGGATAATGGACATGAAAGCTCCCTACAAACCCCTAGTAATCCCTTTTATACCTTGAAGTTGAGTGAACTGCCATTTCTTCCGGGACAAGTTCTCGCTCCTTAGTATGACTTGTCATGAGCCAGGCAGGCATGCTCGCCTTACTCCCTGGCACAGGTGTTCTCTGTCAGGCTCTTCTGAATCAACAGCCCTTCCTGTCTCCGTCATGGAAGAAGCTGCCCCAAGTCTCTCCACTGCTTCTCACACTCTGGCCTTGCTGCTGATGCCTTTATTGGAGTATTCCTAACCCTCTGCCTTCCTCTTCTTATCTCAAGCATCTTTGCTCTTTACAGAACTAAAAGCCTGCTCTGAAGTGTTTTAGTCCTTCAGTCCTTCACCGGGAGGAGGGAGGAAGAATCCTGACAAGGACAGAGAGACATCTCTGTGGCAGCCTGTCCTTTCTTCCCTGTACTGCAGAAAAGCCAGCTCCACTCTGGATCCCAAACATTGACTGAGACTGGAGACTGGAGAAGAAGACACAGCTTTCCCTGAGGTCATGGGCAAAGGAAGACAGGAGAACAGGAGCTGGACATCTCCGGAGGGGAGAAATTGGAGCACCATCTCTGAGACTGGAAGGGCCTTGCACACACACCAGCTGATGGTGGTTTACATATGTCCAGAATGAGACTGGGGAGCTAAACCTAGGGATGTCTGAGTCTCCAGAGCTCAGGGAAGTCCCACACTTTTGGGGAGCACGTGGCTTAGATAAGGACACTCTCAGAAGTAACCAGGGTAGGGTGAATGAAGGCAGTTACATGCTTTCCACATTACTGTGGACAGACAGACTCAGGGTTCTGACCAAGGATTTTGAATGGGTTTTGGGGATCAGCAACACATCTGACACAGATTTCTTCCTGAGTCTGCCAGCAGAGTTCCAAGGGTATGGCCCCTAAAAAGTGGGTCTGTGTGAATCCTTTCTCTAGCCCTTAGGGTGATGGTGTGGATTTGGATCCCTATAAATGTTTATTGAATGGTGGTGAAACTGCAAACCCCATTTTAGAGCACATTTTGCTTCAGAGATTTTCCTGTGACCAGATTTGAAAATTTTTATCTTAGTACAATCACATTTAAAAAAGAAGAAAGAAAGAAAAAGAAAAACAAAGAACAAAAACCGAAACCCCATTTGACCAATAAATGAACATCCAAGAACATGTTTTTTCTCCCCCCTCCCCACTTCTTTCTTTCCTTCCTTCCTCTCTTTTCTTGGAGGGTCCTTAGAAGGCCACAAATATTGCCAGTAATTAAAGCACAAAGGCAGTCATTCTCATGCTGGGTGTGGAGAAATGGTCAGGTAAGCACTTCTTTTCTCTAGTTTTAATATCTGGCACAGATAATCCGTGGCATGGCATTCGGGACAATTTTCCTTCAGTGATTTATTTTTTATCATGTTAATGAGATTTGGAGAGACTGCCTGGGTTCTGTTTCAACGTGTGAAAAGGTTGCCTAGATTTTGCACACAGCGGCCTGGATGGGAGGATCCCATGATCCAAATCAGGTGTGTGTTCCTGGCACCCAGAAGACAGTCAGAGCAGGCGGCTCCGGGGTTGGTAGTGGGGATGCTCAGCGCAGTGTCAGCGAAGGGAACGCGGGGAGGGATGGGCAGCAACCCCTCGGGGCAGGTGAGGGGCGTGGGAGAGCGGGCAGAGGGTGGACCCGGGACCGCTTTCTCGGGGAGTGAGCTCCCTGGCGGCCGCTGGGAGCGCAGGGCAGGCTCGGGCAGCTCCAAGGCGGCCCCGGAGGTGATAAAACTTGAGAAATAACTAGGAGGGGCCACCCAGCGTCTCCATGGTCCAATCCAGTTTCAGACGAGAACACGCTCCTGGGCAAAGAAGCCTGAGCGAGGCCAGAACGACTTCTAGACAAGCTGGTGCGAAAACCCTCCCGCGCCCTGGCTCTTAGAGTCCCTGCTAGGCGCCCGCCTGCGTCCTCCCGAGGTGCACCTAGCAATGGCAGTCGCTGGGCTTCGGAGCCCCCGGTGGGGAGCTTTCTGCACACAGCTGCTGCTGACCCTCTGGGTAAGTTTCCCCGGGTACAATCGGATGGGGTCCCAGATGGGGAAGGGAAAAGGATGGATCCGCTGTGGTCGCCGCAGGGGCGCAATAGGCAACAAGTGATGGGTTGGGTGTCGCCGGCGATCATTTCTTGTCTGGTTCAAGTTTGGTCTGGAGAGGTGACAGGAGAAAAGTTATCACAGGACCTCTCAAGACTCAGTTTTTTGTCCTGGGCCGCCATAGGCGATGTCTGACTTAGGACTCTGGCTTCTCTGTGCTGGTGTCTTCGTCCTGGGTGGGCAGTGGGTGCTATTTGCTCCCTGCTGGCAGTTCCTAAATTGGGGTGGTGATTGAAACTAGGGAGCCTTGAGTGGAAAGGGAGGACAGTTGGGGGTGGGGGTTGTGTTATTTAGGATCTTTGACCTATCAAAAGGCAGATGTGGTAGGACTCCAGGAACTTCTTGCTCCAGATATTTATTGAGTCTCACCTTAGTGTAGGGCCAAAGTTGTGTCCCTGGATGTTATCTTGGGGTTGCCTCTGAGAAGCTGCGGTTCTCAGCTATCCATTTCCGAAAAGAATACTCAGAAGGCTCGCCCGAGCTGCCGGCCCCATGGCTGCTTGTGCACCCGTGCTCTGTGTGCCAGAGGTATCCAGGTGTGGGAAGGCTGCTGAAGGGTTGCATTGGACTTCCATGGGGTCACAATCAGACTGGGGTCGCAGGACAGATAGGAGATAGGCTGAGGGCAGGATGCGATTGGTGTCTGGAGAGGCACTGTTTCTGTGTGGAGCTTATCTTGGGATCTCCTGTGTTCCCAAATCCCAGGGTTGAGCTCATGTTCTGCCCGGAAAAGAGGTTAATGGCTGTTTTCTGAGAACCAGGCAGACTTGAAAGGAAAAATTAAGAATTCTGACCGCATGGTAGCCTGTAAAACTTGAGGCCTGCCCAAGGCTAGTCCAAGATGTGACCACTTCAATGTTCCAAAGACAGGAAAGAGGTTCAGGGGGCCAGAGGAGCCCATCTGACTAGGGAGCTGGTCCACTGTGTTATGTGGACTTTGTTTATTTGTTTGCTTTTTTATTGTAGCTCAGGCTGACCTTGAGCTATCTATGTAGTGAAGGATAGCCTTTACCTCCTGATCCTTTTGCCTCCACCTTCTCTGTGCCGGCTTTACAGATGTATATCACCTTATCTGGTTCTTGACTAGCCCTGGTTCCAAGTTGTTGGCAGGTAGGCCCAAGTTTCATCCCCTCTTTAAATCAGGGAGTTACAGACATCCAACTGGTATTCGTGATCTGAAATACACAGAGGAAGCCGAAAAATTGCAATTAAGCCGGCCAGTTGGCCCTGCAACAGTAAGAGTTGGGGTTGGAAGTGACTGTAAATGAGGTCCCCTTGAATGCTGTGCTCTCCCAGAATAGATGTGTTCAGACGAATTTCCAACATTTTTGTTTAAAAACATGACTTTGGCGAATTTTCTTTTCTTTCTTTCTTTTTTTTTTTTTTTTTGGTTTTTGCTAGAATCTTCAAACAAGTTCTCAAGGTGTTTGACATTTTCACCAAGAGAGGAATTAGGAAATAAGGAAAAGAGACTTCAAGTGTTTCGTTCTGAGGATTAAGGGTACTAGCTGGAGGGGAGGGCGCAGAAGATAAAGCTCTATAAGACAGGGAACTGTTGATCAGGGTCAGGGAACTGTTGATCAGGGTCCTGGTGGGGCGAGGCCAGAGGTGCATGCAGTTCTAAACAGGTGAATCACCTCTTCGCTATGGCATGTTCCTTCAGGGTTGTTTAAAAAGGAGTTGCACAGCATTTAGGTTAAACAGCGGACTCAGAGATTGGAGCATGTATACAGATTGGGAGTTTCTCTCATCAGTAGTCCCTAGTTTATAAATAAATGTGTTAAATTTCATGACTGCATGCTTTTTCCCCCCAAGAGCCTTTGAGCATAACATTAACGGAGCCATTTTAGAAACACCATTAATTATGTGGAGATTAATCATGGAACTGTAAAAACAGTGACCTTTTTGAGGAGGGCTTTTCAAAGCAAGTCTTTAGTACATGTCAAAGACTCCTAACATGGTCAACACCTCACCTCCCCAGCTATGGGCAGGTGGAGGAATCTTTGTGATTGCATGTTTCTGCATCTTGTTCCCACTGTCACTCTGAACAGCCATAGACTTACAACTGAGGAGAGGAGACAAATGAGAAAAATAAAATAAGAGAAAAGCAACCTCCTCACTATTAATGAAAGCTCTTAAGCATTATTTTTAGTGTTTTCCCCTTTTAATGTGACAACAAATTATGGGGCGTGATGAAACTCACACCAGATCAGCCATTTTCTGCAGGTCACAGATAATGGGATCATTAACCTTCATGTTTAATGCTGTTCTTGGCACCAAATCTGTCATCAAAGCCCCATTAGCTTTTATAATTTGTAAGTGCTATGTATTTGGAAAGAGTCTGCCATTTTCCTAAAGGGCTCCTCTTTCAAGACTCCCCTGCCCACTCTCTACTTTCCCTCTCTAGAGTGTATAAACACAAGTGCAATTGGTGTTGACAAACATGCCTTCCATCTTTTCAGGTTGTATATTGTTAATTAACAAGGGACCTCCTTACCAGAAAGACTTTTGCTCTTGAGAACATTTGACATACTTAAAATAAAATGGAATATAGAAATTCACATTGACTCTTATTAGTGAAAGAGGATTGGGGCAAAAAAAAAATAATTAAGGGGGGGAGAAGCTTTTTTTTAAAACCTCATTGTATGAAAGTCAGAATGTAAGTCAAGCACGGTGACCTGTGCCTTTAATCACAGGACCTCATAGACAGAGTCAGGAAGATCACTGGTCTACATAGCCTGGTCTAAATAGCAAGCTTTAAGCCTGTGAGGCTTCATAGTAAGACCTTATACCCCAATAAAAGAAAATCAGGGTTTTAATGTTTGTTTAGACTGATGCAGTCTCTCTCCCACTCCCAGTAAACCCCAGGCCTCACACTCGGTAACTGGTTAAACAGCAGCTACTTTTTAAAAGAGGTTGTTGATTGTCTTATCGAGATGACTAGCTCTTGTAGCAACTTCTGACTCTGGAATAAATGTAAAGCTGTGTACATTTTTGACCCTGGTGTAGTCCCCATGCCCAGTGCCTTCCATATAAAGCATCTCTGGAGACCCGTGGTTAGTCACACTGCCCATTGAATCAGAATTCCCATCTTACATCGAGGGAATTTGTTAGGAGGGAATTTATTAGAATCATCAAACCACTGTGACTACGGAGTGGTAGATCTTAGCACTTATGCCGGAGGTGGTAAGGAATGAATGCTAGTGTTTCCATGTAGTAGACCTAAGTGTCCACAGGAGAAAGGAAAGGTTTAAGTTCTGGTGTCAATCACTCTGCTCGGTCAGGGTACCCTGTGTACCTCAGGCAGGACATCCATGGAATCAGTTGCCATTCTTCTGTATCTCTAACTACTGAACCCAGGGCTGTGCTCTCTCTGGGCACATGCTCTGCTTCTGAGCCACACCCAACCCGTTCTGTAGCTGCTTTTGTCTTTGGTGGAGAAAGGTGTACTAAGCAAGTCTCTTTTCTGTGTTGACGTCATAAAACTGAACTACTCAAAATGAAACAGTTGCAGATAGCTGCTTCAGCCTTTCACCCTCCATTTGGTGTTAGATCTTTGCATCAGAATTTAATGGTATTTCTCTTTTGCAATCACATCACTAGAAAAAATTATAGAGTACTATAAAATAAAACAAAATTTGATACATTTTAAGGCTATTTTAACATTTTTTTCCAAATCAGATATTTGAAGTTCCTCTTGAGAGTTCTCCTTTTAAAGGGTTTCTTTAAATCCAAGTTGTCAACTAATTCATCATTTTTTTTAGAAATAAAGTTTCTCATATATTGTATTTTTAAATGTATTACATTTATTTTTTTTGGCAGGGGAGAGGCCATACAATATATGTGTGGAGGTCAGAGGACATATGTGGAGGTCAGAGGACAACTTGTGGGGATTGGTTCTCTTCTTCTACCATATGAGTTCCAGGGGTAGAGCCTAGGCTTGCAAGTGGAGGGCAGAGAACAAAATGGAGACTTTAGTACTTCCCTTCCACCATGTATGTCCTGGAGACTGAACTCAGGCACAAATGTCCTCTTCTCCTTCACATTCAGCAGATAAGTAAGAAGTAAATAACTCAGTTATATGGAATGGACACAGAACAGAGTTCTGAGAACAGAAGTGAGTGGACTCTTCTTAGCTCACTTTCTGAGGACTGTGCGAAGTTAATAAGTACTCTCATGTCACCATGGACATCATGTATGGGAAATGATGAAATACATAGCAGCCAGTGAAACCCATGGCTATGTAAAAGTTATGTCCTAAGAAGGATTGCCCTAGGAGAGGGGAAAATCTATTACTTGTGTTTTAACATGCTAATGATATGTTTGTTAATAAAGCAAAATTGTGGTCATTTCAAAATATACAGACCATTTAAATTTATTACTCAAAGATATTCCTAGCAAATTAGTTATATGGGAATGGGCTTTCTTAACTCAATGAAATATACTTAACAAAAGTTAATTGGGTCTGGAGAGATAGCTCAATGATTAAGAGCACATACAGATCTTGCAGAGGATCCAAATCTGGTTTACAGCACCCACTTAAGGCCCCTCACAACTACCTTTAACTGCAGCTCCAAATGATCTGAGGACCTCTTCTGGCTTCCCTGGGAATTTCCACTTAGGTACACTGATGCACATGCATACACATACACACATACAACTCCCTCTCTCTCTCTCTCTCTCTCTCTCTCTCTCTCTCTCTCTC